ATGAGGAATTGAGTCCTGGGAGCTTAAATGGTCTTCTGGGTGGGTTTGGGGGTAAATTTGTAGAAAGGATGTGGGGGTTCAGTAGCTCTTCGGCCGAGGACTGTTCCATGGGCCCAGAGCTCGCTAGTGAAGAGCCCTGGGAAGGGCGATTCTCAGGCCGGGGTCGCCGCCCTGTGGCCACTCACGGGAAATGCACCTTGGTGGGAAAACCTTGGGTTTAGTGTAGGCTTTAGTATTTGTTGGTCATTAGCGAGAAACAGCAGGCTTTAAAATAACTAAGAAGATAAAGTGCTTTTAAATTTTAAAAATATACCTCTCTTTGAAATTAGAAGGGAACATTGTCTGGAGTTAAAGATGAAAACTGCTGATATACAAGTGTTTGTATTTTTCATGATGTGCACAGGTAGAACTTGAAGTGTATTCCTGTTCTGACTCATTTTTGTGTCAGTAGCCAGGATGTTGTGGAGTTCAGTAGTGTTCAGGTGCTGTTGCCCTCAGTAATTCAAAGCTCCTGAAGATAAGAACTTTTTTCCCACATAGAGTCAGGATTTTTATATCTCTTAAGTGACTTCATGCAAAGCTTAATTTAGCATTTACTTTATGGCAGTTACTGTGCCACAAATTTATAGACCAAAAGCTCATTTAAAGAGTGTTTGAGGTCTAAATACACAATTTCCTAACGCTGATGAGTTTCAGTTAAGGATAGGTGGCTGTAATAGCACGTTGGTAAAACACGCCTTTTAAATCTTTCATTGCTCCAGGTCTGAACCGAAGATCCTTTTCTCCTACAAATGTCAGGTGGATGAACCTGAGGATGTGGATGTGCACCTACCCCACCCTTATGCTGTTGCCAAGAAGGAAGGAATGGATTCTGGGTTCTACTCAAGCACTCAGATTGACACCACAGCCTACCTGGACGACGTGGCCTCTATGCCATACCACGTGGGCAGCATCAACAGCATAGACAGTGACCGCTGGAAATCCATCAATGCCTGAGGCAGGGCTCCTGAATCACATGATGCCTCATTTCTTTCCTTCCAAACTCTCTGACACTGCAGCTGTTAGGATGTCCTCTGGAAGTCTGTCCTTGGTTACCTGCCATGGCTTTCCTCTTGTCCTTAGGATTTCCCAACACCTACTGTGGAACTAAGTTGGCAGCCCAAATCCTTTTGGGAAGAACACTTTCTGTTACTACATGAGAACAGTGTAGGGCGGTTTTGTTCATAAGCCTTTAAACACTGAACTTTCCTGATCCTCCACGTTCCAGATGTGAATGTGACCCAGAAGATAGCCCTGGCTGGCACCTCTTCCTTTTCAGTGACTGAAAGCACTTGCTTCTCACTTAGAGCAATGGTGTTTAGGGGTGAGGGTGCTGATTTGACTGCTGTATTGTACATATATAGAAAGATTTTGGTGGCTGAAACCAAAGATGATCTTCCTGGACTAAGCAGCATGGCTGCCTGCATCTTGCCATAATGCAACAGCACAGGTGGTGACAGTGTCTGATGAGGGAAGCTGGTCACTGGGGCTCACCCTTGGTTTCAGCTAACACTGTTGAAAATTGTGAGTTGAAGTTGCTAGTGGTTAAAAGGAATGTTCTCAGTGTATGGGGAAAAAGAGGTATGAAGAGGAATGAACTGTTCTCTGTGCCGAGAGAACATTTGGGGAAGGCTGGTAGCTCACTGTGTGGATGTGAAGTGGCTGAACAGTAGGGAGACAGAAGGACAAAGTGCTGCTGTCTGGCTGAGCTGAAGGAGCTGTGAACCAGTCTCTGGGGGCTGTAGTGCTGTGCATTTGAGCTCACAGGAAAATCTAAGTAGCAGCACTGAATCAGGGTTGAGTTTCAAGAGTAAAACCTATGAGGTAGGTGTGTTTTCCATCTGCACCCTACTTCATGGCTTTGGCAGGGGCTCGGAGAGTGCTGTGAAGGAGGAAGGTGACTCTGCAGATGAAGGCTCCAGAGACATTCAGGTGCTTGAGGCAGAGCAGAAGCCTATGATGAGTCTGAGCTGTCAGAATTTAGTGAGGAAACTCAAACCCCTTAGGTGTGCTAGAATCAAGCTGGCTGATGAGCTGCAGTGGGAGGGGAGTGGGAGGTGAGTGTGTATCTCTGGCAGTGTCCTTCCCTTACATTGCAGTTCAGATCCCCCGACTGCTGCTGGTCTGAGTAAGTTTTATGGCTCAATATGTTGAAAATGCTTATGTGCATGTGGGGAGTGGTCCTTTTCAAGACTTCCTGGAACTTCTTATTAACCTCTTCCTTGCTGGCAGAGGGACTCCTGTTGTCTGAGCTGTGTGGCATGCAGTTTCAAGACATGGTGTTCCAATCCAGCGACTGTTCATATAAAGGCTGCATCAGTCTGGTTTCTGGGATATCCTGTACTTTCCAAGGATAAAGATGTGTATTCCTCTAGATTTGGGGGTGCTTTCCTACCTGAGTTCTCCAGGTAGGTGGAGATCTGCTGTAAGCAGCTTTCCACTAGGGATGTTAGAAGGAGGGAATTTGCAGTGTTTGGGGACTATGTGAATCTCTTGCCCCAACTTACTGCTGTTCCTGAAGAACACTTGAGGTAAGAGTTAGCAAGGTGCAGTGTGGAGGGGTTGGTTTGGATCATTAGCAGGTAGAGATGGTGTTTGCTACCAGGTGTTCCCATCACAGGGAAAGAAAATGTGGGTAAGAGCATGAAGTTCATATTGGTTGCCTAAACTATGCAGGCCTTTGCTTACCTTATTTTGTTAATGAGCAATGCAGCTTCTCTGTCTGCCTGGGTACTTTGCCCTGCAGGCCTCTAAGTAGCACTGGCACCTTGAAAACAAACCATGCCCCAACCCATCCAACCCCTCACCCCCCTTTTTTATTTTTATTTTATTTACTTCTGGGGGAAAAAAGGCTTCCATCTATCTGTGTGCTCGAGGTGAGTAGTTTGTTGTAGGTCACAGCCTGTCACATTTCCATTTCATGCAAGGACTGCAGGGGCTGGATGAGGAGCTGGCCAAGTCAGCCCTTGTCATGTTAGAGAAGTGTTCCATGCACCTTTGTCACTGCTGCCAGTCAGCCTGAGCCACGCTGGACTGCTTGCTGTAAAAGGGATGAATGATGTGCTGCCTGAATTGCTCTGCTGCTGCTCCTAATGCTGCTTACAACTCTGATCCTGAGCTGCTCTTGGTTAGAAAGGGTGGGGGAGCCTGCAAAGCTTCCCTGGGCCTTGGACAGAGTAAGAGAGATGAAGATTTCAAAGCAGTTGAGAACTAAAGGAGCAACTGCTTTTCCATCCCAAGGAGTATTTGTTGACTTTCAACACCCTGAGTGAAAGGAATTTCCTGCCCTCCTTGGTAATGTGAAGAGCCTGTTATGAATTTGCCTTTTTTACCATCTGAATTCAGTGCTGAAGGATCACCTATGCAGGTTGTCAACATCCATCCTGTCCTTTGCTGGCAGGACTCCAGTATTTCTGGGATGTCCCATGTTCTGCTGCTGAGGAGCTTCTGCACTAGGTCATGGACTGACCTTCCTCCTGTTATGTATTTATGTATATATAATGCTTTGGGCCATCTTAAAGTGGTTCTTGAGCAAAGTGTGTTATGTGTGGGGGTGGTATAAAAGAGAGAAAATATAGAATAAATGTATATTTTTGTTTGTAAAATAAATAAAATTAAGTTTGGCATAAATGGTCGTGCTTTATTTCTCAAATGAGACATACTGGGGAGGAAAAATAACTTGAAGACTTGAAAAAAAAATGCAGGAAGGCATGGGCACAGGTGTGATGTGGTTTAGTTTGCCTTTGCCAGCTCTTTCCTGGATCACTCTGCAGGTGATGTCTGCCACCTGGCTGGGAGTGTACACCTGGAAAGGCCTAGGGAGGGATGACAGGAATAATCACAGTTATGGAAATACTTCTGGAGGAGTAATCACATGGTTGAGAACTCACCAGGCTGGAAGAGCCGTGGTGCAGGCCTGTGAAACCCTTAGAGAGGACAGAATGTGTGAGGAATATCTGCTCATGGGCTCTTTCAGCACAAAAATGGGGTGCCATGAGATGAAGTGAGCAGATGAGAATGAGCAGGAGGCAGGGGAGTGCTCTGGGGGGAGCTTCAGGCACCCCGTGCTCTTGCCTGGCTGTGCAGACAGCCCACGGTGCACCATGCAGTGCCCTTGTCTGGGAGCTCAAGCCATGGGCTGACTCCAGCATGCACAATTAACAAAAATATTCCCTGCTTCCAGGAGTGTGCTCTAGAAGAGACCTGGATGTTAGGGGGGTTTGGTAGGTGCAGAGTCCCAGATAATCCCTTAATGCTGGCCCCAGTCCCACTCTGAGGCAAAGCTCTGGCTGCCACCTGCAGTGAGGAATAAGCATTAAACACTTAGAACTGCTCCCATGCACTACTGAGCAGCAGTGGGCCGAGCAGATAAGCACCACATTGATACAACTGGCCCGTATTTCTGGGAATGCAGAAAGCTTGTTTGAAAAAGATTCTCCAAAGCTGTTAGTTCAGCTGCCCCTGTGTTGCACGATCTCATTCTTTCGGTTTAGGCTGTTGGATTAGCCGTGCCTGGCGATGGGACTCTCTCAGCCGTGGCCTGACCTATGCAGGACCCTCCCGTGTGTGTCAGGGCAGGTGACAGCTCCGTCTGGCTGGAGCAGAGGCTGGAAGGAGCGGAGGTGAATTCTGCTCCCAGCGCAGCTGCCGTGTCTCACGGGAGGTCATCCTCCCTCAACTTTGGCAAAACCCCGTGACTTGGAAGTGCAGCAGTGGAAGTTGTACTGCAGTCTGATGCCGCGTTCGCTGCCAGGGCTCACCGGGACAGGAGCGGGACTCTCCGCTATCCCGGAGCCGCATTGGACCGCTGCGCTTCCCCGGCGCCGGGCGAGCCGCCCGCCCCCGCCGTAGACTACATCCCCCAGCGTGCACCGCGCCCGGCCGCTAGCACCGCGCCGCGCTATTGGCCGTCTCGCGGGCATCACCAATGGGGAGCGGGTATATTGACAGGCGCTGGCAGGGCAGAGGCGCTGCCGGCAGCCGGTGCGGGAGAGGGGCGCGGCGAGGATAAGGCGACCTCGGGCGGCATGGGCTGCAGCGAGAGCAGCCAGGGCGGCAGGAAGGTGTCCTTCGGGCTGGATGAGCGGGAGCGAGTCCGGGTGCTGCAGGGCATCAGGGTGAGGCGGCCGGGGGTGCCGTGGGGCCGGGTGTCGGAGGCTGCGGGGGCGGAGGAGCCGGGCTGGGGGGGGCTCTGGCCGGGAGGTCAGGGAGAGGCTGCAGCGCTGGAAGGGACGGGCGGGGAAAGCAAGGAGGAGGGGAGGAAACCTGGAAGGCTGGAGGAGTAGGGGGCTGGAGGAGTGATGGGAAAGAGGGCTGGGGGCCTGGGCATGGCTGGTGTGTACCAGCTCTTTATTTTCACTTCCGAACTCTGCCCTCAGCCCTCTTGCTCTCCTCGCTGCCCGGTGGCCTCGTGTTGCCCCTGCCTTGTGCTTTGCCAGCGGTTGGATGCTAACGGCCCTGAGGGCATCCCGGAGGAGACGTGCTCGCGGTGCCGGGAGAGAGAGCATCGCCGTGTGAGCAGGGCAGAGGAGAGCGGGGGACTCTGCTTCTTGGCCTTGGAAACTGACACACTTGGGAAGTGTGTGTGGTGGAAACAACCCTGCGCAGTGGTGGTGCTGCCGTTAAGGAATTATTTTTTTCCCGTTTATGTTTTTATTTGGTTTTTTGCATGTTAGTTTTGGGGTTTTTTTATTACTGCCATCGTTTTCATTGCTCTTGCTTCTTGATGCTTTTGTGTGATTTCCCCCTAAAATCTGCCAGAAATGAACTTACAGAGTGTGTGTTGATGTGGCTACTTATTTTTGTCCCATTTTGACTAATTATTTGACAAAAGTTAACTAAGATTGTGCCTATCTCCTATCCTCCTTGTTAAAGTGTTTGATGGAGAAAAAATTGTCTTTGCCTAATTTATCTTTACAGGATATAGACAAGGATTTGTGTCTTTAAAATTAGGAATTGGGCATGATAACAGTGTAAAATTAAGGTATTAAAATCTGTTAAGTTGGGTAGTAGTGGTATAGTTGAAAATATGTCTTCTACTGTGGCAAGTCTAGGTGAGGAACAGCCTCATTTCATTTTGTTCTGCAGCCGGACCCTCTGACCTTGGCAGGAGAAAGGGGTCAATTTTAACAGTGCTGTGAGAAGCCTTTTGGACTGAAATGCCAGAAAACCTCAAGTTAACTTTTCTTTCTTTTTCATGGGTTTGAACCCAAGTCAGGGAGTGAAAATGAAGCTGAGATTGCAGAAGTGTTTGCAGGCCCATGTGGGTGGGAGGCTGTTCTTTGTCATGTGGGTTGCAGCATGTCTGCCATGCTGAACTGGGTTAGCAAGCATGGAGCAAGAGGAAATGATGGACTTAAAACCTGCTTTATTCCTTTCCTTCCACTTCTGCTAGATTTGTCCCTATACAAAGGGTTGACTTGTTTAGGGGTGCTCTCCACCTTTGTTGGCATTTGTGGAAGATTGCCTAGTGAAGCTTTTAGGGTCAGGCAGTAGATTGGAGGTTTTGTCACTTACTGATGGGTTTTAACAGTGGAAAGTCAACATACAAGTGCTGTGTGGATTGGAGGGACATTGCAAGGAGGTAACTGACAATACTTCTGTACTATCATGGAAACTAACAAATGGGGAGGTTCACAGTGAAATACACTCCAGAAACTGACGTGGCTGGTTCTGTGTTTCAGCTCACTGAAGATGTAGTGAACCGGATGAAAGGATCCTCTCAAAGCAGAAGGGAGAACCAGAGATCTCCCCGTGCAGCCAATGGCACAGCTCCCTCCTCACTGGCTGCAGAAGGGAAACCCAGACCTACAGGTACTGAGGTGGTGCTGCCACTGCTTGTCACACAGGATGCTGGTAGTTTTCAGTGCTGCCCCGTTGTGAGAGGAGCTCTTTGGTTAGCCTGTGTCACTCTGTGAGCATTTCTAGGATTTCAGGTCAACGTGCAATAAACAAGGCAGAAATATTTTGCTTTTTGTTTCTGGCAAGCTGCCTTGTTGTACATGCACAGGGTGTATAATGTGCATGGGTGAGGGAAGTGCTGCTTTGTATTCTTTGGAAAGAAGCTCCCAGGGAAAGATAACCCATCCAAGCACAGCTGGCTAAGTGGATGATGAAAACTTGGTTTCTGAACTTGACTTTATTTACATGTCAAAAAGCTATTTGATTTCTATTGGTTCTCAAATAGGCTTTGTTGATCTATATCAGCAGTGTGGATTTGTTTAAGGCATCCAGACTAAAATGGAGTTGGGGAACTAGGCCTTTGCTTTTAGGGATTTGTTTGCTGTCAGCCTATGTCTTTCCTGAATGTAGATTTAGCTTTATGGCTGACCTGAACTCCATCAAATAATTTCATCTTCACTTGTGGAATCCCTTTTAATTGCAAGGAGAGGAGGTGGTCAAGAGGAAGACTTACTGGAACTAGAGGAAGGAAATGGAAAGTAGATCTACAACCATGCTCATATTTCAGTATATATAAGGGTTTGAGGAGTTAATATCCTCACATAGAAGTTTTCTGTAGCGTGGTTTATGCAGCATGCCTGTTTGAAAATGATGCTGTTGCTGTGTCTGTTTAATAAACTCACTCTATCCATCAAACTTAAATTTTCTTGACTTTCTTTTTATCTTGATGAATAATATGAATATTTCTTAAAATAATCTATGATGTGATGGAGGACTACATTTGTAGTACTATTAGTTGTCACAGGTTTCTCTTTTCCTTTTTAGAAATTCAGCCACCAAAAGCAAGTGACTCTTCTGCAGAGCAGGAACTCTACAGGAGGTGAGGTGAAGCTCTTGAAAAAGACAACAGTTTAGCTCATTTGGGAATGTATCTATGTATATATATATGTCTGTGTTTTACTTCAGTCTGAGCATAATGAGTGTGTCTTTGACAGAAGCTGAACATGAGCCCAGGTGTGTCCAGGTGGCCAAGAAGGCCAGTGGCATCCTGGCTGTGTCAGCAATAGTGTGGCCAGCAGGACCAGGGCAGGGATTGTCCCCCTGTACTGGGCACTGTTGAGGCCACAGCTCAGATCCTGGGTTCAGTTTTGGGCCCCTCCCTGCACAAAGACATTGGGGTGCTGGAGTGTGTCCAGAGAAGGGCAAGGGAGCTGGGGAAGGGGCTGGAGCACAAGTCCCCGTGGGAGTAGCTGGGGGTGTTCAGCCTGGAGAAAAGGAGGCTCGGGGAACCTTATGGATCTACAGCACCTGAAAGGAGATTGTAGCCAGGTGGGGTCAGTCTCTTCTCCCAGGTGGAACAAGTGACAGGACAAGAAGAAATGGCCTCAAGTTGTGCCAGGGGAGGTTTAGGTTGGGTATGAGGGAAAATTTCTTCACTGAAAAGGTGGTCATGCACTGGAGCAGGCTGCCCAGGGAAGTGGTGGAATCACCATTCCTGGAAGTATTTAAAAGGCCTGTGGATGTGGCACTTTGGGACATGGTTTAGTGGTGAACATGATGGTGTTGGGTTGATGGTTGGACTTGATTTTTTCCATCCTTGATAATTCTGGGATTCTATTCTATGATTATGTTTTAGTACCTGAGAATCCCCTTTGAAGCCTTTTTCAGTTCAGGGCTGCTTCTCTTAGTGCTGCTGCTGCATGCATTTTGTGTGATTTGTCTTTCCTGTTTAAGAACCAAAGAGCAGCATTGTCAGCCTGGCTGACTCCTTTTATTGTTGTATGTCCCTTGATCTTTTCCAAAGCAGTGACTATTTGTCTGGCTCACTGCTTCCTATTTTCACTGTTTTCAGGTGATAATTAAGTACTTAATAGAGCTAAATATAACTCAAGTATAAGCTTATATGGTGCTATGCCTGCTGTTGTTGCCAGAGCTGTACCTCACTGGAATTGCAGGTCGTATTTAAAGTTTGTTGCACTTTGAATTCCTGCTGATTGTGGGATTGTGAGCAGATTTTGTGTCAAAGAGATTCTGGATTTGTGTTTTGGCTCTGAGCAGGGGTGCTCCATGACAAGCCATGACCCTGTTGGCAGAAGTCTGCTGATGACCTTCCCTCTCTTTTGATGCTCATGCAGGTATATGGAGGAGCAGGCACTGGTCCAAGAGGAGCTGCTCCGGCTGGCCAAGAGAGAAAGGGAAGCAGCCAGCGAGGCCAAGGAAAGGATCGGCATTATTGAGGAGAGGCAGAGAGCAGCCCAGCTGGTGAGTAACAAACCCCCTGCTATGTTTCCAACCTGCACAGGCTAAAATGGCTCTGCTAGAGGGCATTCATTGAATGTCATTTCTGTGATGAACTTAGAAACTTGGGTTGAGGCTGAAACATTCCTCACCTCCCTCATCACTTAACATTTTGGCTCACAGTGCAGCTGCAAGCTCCACTTAGAGCATGTCACTCCCTGCTGCCAAGGCATGAACAATGGCTGTGCTGGGGACAGCTTTACCTGTGGCAGGGAGTATGGTGTGTGTGCATATGATCCTTGTCTAGCTACAGAGAACTCTTTTTGAACTCTTAAGTGTATGAAATAAATGTTTCAATATATACAGGATCAAATTCTGCTGACCTGTTATATCCTGAGACTTTGCTCTGGTTTTTTTCTGGGGTATAATAGTGCATGTACACAAATTAATAAAAAGTAATAATGTCTTCATTTGTTTGAGTCTTTTATAAATCTGGTAACAGAAGAACTGTTATAAAACTGTCAAGTTTGTAACCTTTGTAGAAAAATTGTAACCTTTTGAAGAAAGTCTAGGATTGATTTTTAGGGACCAGGAAGCATAAACCCTTTTTTGAACATACCACTGACTCCCAAACCAATTTCTTAGTGCCCAGCAGGCAGACTTACTTTTGGGGACTTCTTGCTGCAGCTTTTACTGTTAGTCAGGCACCTTGGTGTTATGATGACCCATTGGGTTGCTGTCATACCAGTGCTGAGAAGAGCAGTGCTGGAGGCAGAAGTACAGTGAGATGAGGCTGAGTAGAGCAAGAGGCTTTTATCAATCACTACAGTACACTGGGGTTGTCATTGGTGCTTAATGTTCACATGATACTATTTTATATTGTTTTCTTTTCCATACTGCCATTCCTATGGTGTACTGTCTGTAACCAGTGCAGATTACTGGAGCTGCCACCTTTTCCTGACCTGCAGTGGTGTCAGGGTCTGACAGCCAGGTGGGGCCATGCTTGCCACAGTGAGATCAAACTGCCCATTCATTTAGACTGTGCTGTTAAAACTTTATTGAGAGGACTAGACCAAGGGAATTCTCCTTGCCTGGTGCAAGGAGAAAGGATGGTTAGGGAAAAGACAGACTGGAGCATGAATAGTCTTTATTGTGCTTTTTTCATCCTACTGATCTGTAGCTTAACCAATGTATGCTTGATTCAAGTGAAGAATCCCATGAGGTTTGGGGTTTTTTTAATATGTTGAATGCTAACAGGCCTGGTTTACCCAGGGAAAATGTGAAGCATTTAGAGGTTATAATATAAAGATATTTTTGGGGACTTATTAACATTTATGTAAGAATGGTGACAGTGTTTCAAAGAAAAGGTCTTTTTAGCTGCAGTCCATCTCTGACAGTGATCCCCAGCAGCTGCTGACGGAGAGCATGAGAACACAGCAGGTATATAACAGTATGTCCCACCTATACCCTTGCAAATTCTGATGTTCTAAGACTTAGGGCTTTGAAAGCAAGAGTTTGTATTTTCACTTCGGTGGTTAACAGTCTTTAAGGAAATTCTCTTTTGTGAGTTGGTCTGTTTGTGGTTTTGGACCCAACTGTACTTTGTCTCTGTGATAAAGTTTGTGCATGATTGGATTGGTAGGTGTCTGAGATTGCTCCCCTAGACGGATACAGCTTGTGAACGGCTGCTGTGTGGCAGGAAATTTCCTCTTGGCAGATTGGATTCTGACCATGGGGTGCTGGATGATTGCTGAGCTTCAGAGCAGTGATATCTGAGGCTGGTGACTGCTGCTGCTCTGCAAAGGACACCTGGGTCAGCAGGTGCGGTATTAACACTTTTCACTAGAGAGAGAATATTCTCTTTATGAATGCAATTAACTGGCTTCTGTAAGAGCAAGGGGAAGAAGAAGTTGGTGGATTTGTTGTCCCATCTAAAGATGTGACTTTGCTCAAAGTAGAGCCCTGCCCTCCTGCAATGAGGTGGAGTGTAATCCTGAAGAAATGTGGCTAGCAGAGTCGTGCAATATTTGTGAAATGCAAAAAGGACATAACTAAAATGAGTTGGGACCTGACTGCTCACATACAAAAGTTGTTTTATTATCTGAACTAGCTTTCAGTCCTGTAGTGTTGCATACCCAGATATTATATACTTGATGCACTGTAAAAATCTGATTAGGGTCCCCTTATAGTAAATAGTGACCACAGTGTGTTTTCTGAGAATGTGGTGAAAGAATGAGAAACTGTTACATTTCATTGCTCTTTAACTATCTCTTGATCAGTCATAAATTTAGGATCCTTAAAAAAAATGGGATAGTCTAGTGTGTCCTTGCAAAGACGAGGGCAGAGCTATTGTTTATCAACTTCTAGATACCTTCCTAAAAAGGAACTGTTGTGGCCAGACTTAAATTATCCCTATCAGACTTGCTTTATCTCAGCTACTGTTTTCTTTTGGGCACGGGTACCTTATTGTATTGACTCAATCCTACTCAAACCATGTCTGTCCTTTGTCTTCTAGTGTTATCCTCCTTTATTATGAATAGGGCTTGAGTGTTTCTTGCTCTTCTAGTTTTTAGCCCCAGCAAATGGGGAAAATACTGGGTATGAGGTGCTCGTCCATATCTTGTGTCAATCTTCTCTTTCAGGTAGAAGATAGTAGAGGAACTCAAGGCATCTAGGGGTAATCCAGGTGCAGATAGCAATGGAAATTATCTGCTTACATTTATAAGGGAGAAACTTCCAGGGTTGTTTTTGTTGTTGTGACCTATTAGGGAAATGAGATTAAAAATGGGGCAATTCCCATGAAAGCAATAACAAATGAATAATTTGCTTCTTAAGCAGCACTTAATTTGGTAAAAATTGAAAACCATGCCACGTATAATTAGAAAGTTTTATTCATTTTTCTAGTATTTGCATTAAGATCTTGAGCTGCCCTGTGCTCTTAACATATCAATACCTCAGTGATTAGTAGCTCTTTTTTGTACTGTTGTCTGCAGCAGTGCTGGAACATTCCCCTGTAACCATACCACTTGTATAAATCCAAGTACCATAGCTGTATTTTGAAGTGATTTCATTGTGGTTGTGCTGAACATTGCATGTCATTTAATCTGTTCTTTATGGCTTTCACTCACAGACTTTTATTATTGGGAATATTGCTATAAGCACTTCAGTGTTATTGTATGGTGCACACAAAGAGAGGGTGGACTAGAATTAACCTTTGATATGGGACTTGCTGTCAGCTTCTGGGGCCAGTTACTTGATTTTTATGGGGCAGGGTGCAGATTAAAACTTCTTGTTATTTTATTGTGGTTTGTATATTTTGTTAAACTAATTTTTTCTCCTTCAAGTGTACTGGTTTCAAGAAGGATTTAGAGTTAAGTACCCGGGTCCTTTTCTACATTTTTGTCGTGACCTTTCTTTTTCTTTTAATGACTTTGAAGAAGGTACTTAGCTTCTAGATACCTTAGGTTTTGAGTAAAACTCCTTACAGCTTTAGTTTAAGAAGCAAAACAGCTCTGTAAGTAATAGTGCAGCATTGACTTTCCTCTTTGAGTGAATATGGCTTTTTCATTAACCCGGGGGACTGGCTCAGATGGAAGTAGTCTGCTAAGCTGCTGTAGAAGAACTCTCCCCAATTTATATTAGAGATAAAATGTTTTGTTTGCTTGTGCAGCACTGTGGGATCATGGTGCTGAGTGGACTCTCTGAATAATTTAATGGCGTGGGTACTTCAACACAACAAGGATTATATGTACAGTATTTCAGAGCAAGGCCTAGGGTGTTTAACTAATGCTGGTGCCGTGCCTTAAGTCTCATGTGAAATACCCAAGAATTAACACAGCTATCTTTAAATCCTTTTCTATTTCTAGCATGCAGAACTTGCAAAGTTGTCAGTCAAGTTATTTAATTGCTTGACTATGTTGTGAATAGTCTCACCATTCCCCTATGTGAGAAATCTTTCCTTTTTCATTTCCAATTAATCAAAACCTCTTCTCTTAACTTCTTAGTTCTTTCGGGTTTCCTTTTTTTCCCCTTCTTCCTACCAAGAAAGGAAACTGCAAACAAAGCTGCTCTTTTTTCCTCCTTTTTGCTTTTGTAATTTCTGAAGGTTGAGCAGCATGTGCAGCATATGCATCAGGAGCCTCTTGGAGCCAGTGACTGTGTGCCTGATGGTTTTCACTGAAACCTTTAGGACAAATCAATGTGGAATGGGGATGGATAAAAGCAGAAGCTGGGGGGGAATAAACGCGATTAAGCGAAGACATCTCATTACTACTCTAGAAAGGGAGGATTATAACTTATAAAATAGGAGGATCTCATTTAGAGGCCATGTGCACTTGTGTTATCAGGACAGAGGGAGAGCAAATAGAATAAATGAAATTAATACTTTGAAAAGAAGCATTACCCGGATTTGAGCATTGAACTAATATGATTTGTGCAAAGCCCTGAAGTTCTTATCTCCATTAAATACCCCAAGGATAATGGCTTCGTCAGAGTTATTGACCAAAAGTTGTTGTCTTCCTTCTCACTTTGAAAGAATGAGTTCAGAAATGGGGTGATGGTAGGACAGACTTTGCACTATGACCAGCTGTTTCAGGCAAGACTGACGGGCACTGGCTGCTGTGTGAAAACAGACTGGGCAGAGAATTCTGGAAAGTTTATGCAGCAGTCCATGATGGATGATTTGTTATTCCCAGTGTTCCTGATTGTGCCTGCTCACTGGCTTGCTGGATGGCAACCTTTGCTTTCTGGTGGTTTCAGCATTGGACTGTTGTGACTATTGTGGCTCAAATGGACATGAAAGGAAATACAACAATATGGGTTTGCTTCAGGTTGCTCCAGTAGCTGATTATAATTGGTTGTAGACTGTTGAATTCTTTCAGATGATTTCTTGCCTAGATATAATCTCTGCTTTTCAGAGCCTCTTATCTCCTCTTCTAGATTCATAAAAAATGGGATGAAGGAAGAATGTGTGATTGGGAATGCCTTTGATCAAGCAGTGTGTTTTGGTAACGGTGTCACCTTGT